CACTTTGATGGGAAAACAGCTCCGATACCGGAAGGCAGAAAGTAGGGTTTCTTTTGCAGAGGCTGTTTGAAACGCTTGGTCATATAGGAGCGTTTCGCGAAGTGCAAGGTAATCAACCAACACCCAAGATACCTAACCCCACCCTCAATCATACTGAGGCTTTCTGAGATGTTCGCCTGTGAAACCGCACGGGGTGCAAGAAACAGTATTACTTTAGTAACCAAGACAACAGAGGCATGCTCGCCGNAACACGAATCGATCGGGGCTGATTGGACACTCGATATCTTTCATACAATGTTGCTTTTGTGAACAAATGAATCCTCGGTGTTCCGTGATCTATGATCACACTCACAATGCTATGTGCCACATGCATTTTATAGCTGGGGTATGTGTGGCGTGTATCACTGCACAGATGTTTAAGTGCGTGTATGCACGGGCCACATCCACACTATCCTGGTTACGCCATTGGTTCCCGGCTTATAAACCATCCAGGGTACCTTGGATGTTTGACCGCCTCCAAAAGGCCTGAGTGTGATCAGATAAACTAGATGCTCGGTTGCCTTACGGGATTGTTGTCCTGTGAATTTTTCGGCACGAAGTCCGGACTCAAGTAAATGTGGAACATCGTGTACTATAAACTATACAGATATCAGAATTCTAGCGCGATTCATATAGGTAGCTCAGAAGAATGTATGTGTGTGTGTGAATATTGTATTGTATTGTAATAACTTCTGTAAGCATGAAGCCCACATTTCGGTTAAAAATATACAGTTTGAAGCAAGGGAGAAAATAAAAATAACAATGAAAAAAGATTTAAATCCTAAAACTGTTAACAAAGTCTGTGAAAACCTGTTCTTTGTTAACAATAATACATGCTAATGAATGTACTGTGGAGTTACGATATATATTTATTTTAGAGGGAACACAACGATATTGTGGTCTAGTTGAGGAATGAGAACAATAGGAAGTTAGATTAGCGCGTAGTGGATGTGTGGAGTCGATGAGAATCTTATGCGCAAACTTTTCACATGCATTCAAATGACGTTCGCATAGGTTAGTTAGCAACTCCTTTAGTGGGATTGAAGAGACACGGCTAATGATGGTCAATCCATGTCGAAGCAAATTTAAATCTTTTTTAAGGAGGTTGGGAAAATAACAGGTGAACAATAAAGTAAAACAGGGAAAACACACTAATACACAAAGTTGGAAATAATTGACTGTGGAATACGAAACTGATGAAGTTTACGGATATGAAAAGAAAGTCGTGTTGAATGTGAGAGGTCCAGTGAAGATTAGTATTAATAAAAACGCACAGGTATTGAATACAATTTACCCGGGATACTGGTTCGGAGCCAATCGATACCGGTTCACTTGGGACAGAAGAGTGTGATAATGCAAAGAGATATTCAAAACATTTGGAGGGATTAAGAGATAAGACCGATGTGACGGAAATCCGTTGGACGTTATCCAAGTTGTCAGAAAATTGTGAAAGACCAGAAGAGTCAGAGATGGCCTGACACAAGAGCACATCGTCAGCATAACTAAAGAGAGAAGTAGGGGCGCAAGCAGACAAGTCACTAATATACGTAGAAAATAAGTATGTGGAAAGAACTGCACCTTGCAGTACTCCAGAGCTATTCAACAACGGTTTGGATTTCTTTTGACCTGGTACACTGAGTTCTCCCAGAGAAGTAATCGGCAAGCCAAGCTAATAACCGTCTAGGACAACTGAAGGTCTCCAGTTTATGAAGAAGAATAGAACAGGGAACAGAATCAAATATAATCAAAATAGATGAGCATGAGGTTGCCTGAAGGGACTGGGATCAGTGAGCGCGCAATAACAACACACGGAGTGAGACACACACACACACACAAAATGTAAGTTCGAATGAGGCATGCAAATGTCTGACGGACTAGAACAAAGGGATGGATTGTATACGAATCAACGTAGATATTGGAATGCGATTGTGTTCCAGCAGAAAAATGAACTAATCACAAGATGCAAATATACACACACAAGCAAAAGACAATGACCTCGTTTGGCATGCGGTGGAGAGAACCGAGAATGTTGATACGATCAGAGTTTAGAACAAAGCGTGAGCAAAACATTTGGCCACATTCTGGCCACTACTTACTTGTTGTTGACCACTTCAGTTTGCGCTTTGAGAAGCACAGCGCGTTTGTGTGAGAACGTCTCCAGTGAAAATCGGCCATGGTAATTCCCGAACCCGGAGTGGCCAACTCCACCAAAAGGTAACTGCGAAACTATCAAGGGTGTAAAATTAGGGATTGCGTGCAGGGTTTTTGTTACTGATGTCACAATGAGGGGGGGGGGGTAAACTTGACTCAACCCGGTCCACTATGTTTGTTCTTCTGCACAAACAATAGACGCAGTATGATCCATTGGACTGGCACATTTCGTTTAGTGACTGGTTTAATTATCGCTGTGCTCGATCAACTTGAGAACGTTCACGGTTGTGCTATTGATCACATTTTAGACTTTGTCTTGTAGCACTGTTTTGCATTCTTTCTCTCACTCTCTCTCTCTCGAACTAGCTCTCAAGTAAGGTATGCAACGGTGCTTGACTGCTAACTGTCACCCTCCCCCCCCCCCCCCC